GTAGCATTATATGCATCCCCCCCTGAATAACCCCAGTATGCTTATCAAACCAGCAAATCGACAGATTCAGCATTAAACAACCTCGTTGAGAAAATCTCCCAATCCCTTGACAACAAGGAGATTGTTGTTGCTGTATTTCTTGATATTAAAGGAGCATTTGACAATGCACGACCTAAATCTATAGGTATAGTAAGGGCTAGGCTAGCCTAGCCTAGCTTCCTCTGGCTAGGAAGGGTATAGAATTGACCATAACTGGCTGGATCTATGATATGCTAGTAAACAGAACTGCAACTACGACTCTTCAAGGCGAGGCTATCAGGTTCAGGGTCACCAGGTGCTGCCCTCAAAGTGGGGTACTATCTCCCCTTCTGTGATCGCTCCTGGTGGATAGTCTGCTTGATGCCCTCGACAGAAGAAAAGTTGATCTGCAAGCTTATGCAGATGACCTTGTCATCCTGGCAAGGTCCACGTCGGGAAGGGTAGCTTGTGATAGCCTACAAAGCGCGTTGAACGTTGTTCACAGTTGGTGCCTGAGGGAGCAGATGTCTCTCAACCCCAGCAAAACTGTGTTAATCCCCTTCACGAAGAGAAGAAAATTAGACGATCTAACGCCACTTTTCCTCAATGGTGTGGTCATTCCATTTGGAACGGAGGTGAAATATCTTAGTATTATCCTTGATAAAAGACTCACCTGGAACTCTCACTTGGAAAAAGTTTTACACAAAGTCAGACTGTCTCTATAGACATGTCGAAGGATTTGTGGTTAAACTTGGGGTTTAGGTCCCAAACAAATCCATTGGATTTATGTGATGATTGTCAAACCAATGATCACTTATGGTGCAATTGCTTGGTGGCCGAAGGCTTTACAGAAAACGGCCCAAGCGAAGGTCTCTGGCTTACAGAGACAGGATTGTCTGGCTATCAGTGGTGCCATCAGTACCACACAGTCAGCGGCCATGGAGATCCTTCTAGATCTACCTCCTCTCCACATTTTTTTAGAAAGAGAGGCTAGGTGGACTGCATACAGACTTGTGCACATTGCCAATTGCCTCCAACTGTCAACTACGAACTGCCTTATAAAGTACTATTTCCAAGTAGAGAGGACCGGATCCTCCGGGAGAAGGAAATATTAAGAGCAGATAGTTGTTGGTTCACAGATAGATCAAAAACAGGTGCAGGCGTTTTCAGTCGCAGACCCAGGAAAGAGTTATCTACCTGCCTAGGAACTTATACGACTGTATTTCAATCGGAAATTTACGCTATTGAATTGTGTGCGGGGAGATTGGCTAAATCCAACCTCACTCACAAGTCAATACAAATATTCCCGGACAGTCAAGCGGCGTTGGAAGCTCTTGGCTCCTACCGAGCAACGTCTTAATTGGTAGCAAACTGCCAGAAACGACTCTTCTCGATAGGAAGACTTAACAGATTGTCTCTGGTCTGGATTCCTGGCCATACTGGCCTGGAAGGCAATGAAGCTGCAGACTCTTTTGCACTGGAGGGTGCTGCAACCGGCTTCATTGGACGAGAACCTGTCACTGGCATCATTTATATATGAGAAATATTGAAAACAACACATAACTTTTTTGGAATTGCAAGCTTTCCAAATGTGATAGGTGCTATATATATTTCAATTTAAATATTACTGTAGTTTTTTTTCCCAACACCAAATCGTTATTTTTAACACTTCGACACGTGTTTTGATCACCAAGTTATCATCTTCAAGAGGAAGATTCAATCTTCACATGTCGAGGTGTTAAAAATAACGTTATTCTTCAGCTCGCACAAGTTTCTCAACTTCTGAGAGTTGTCGTTCGTATGGGGGCGACAGCTGATTAACGAAAAAACAGATTTTTTTTTTAAACAGATGTCACTATCCATGTCGGATATTGAAATTGTTGTAGCAGAACCGCCTCCAATTTTGTATATTTCAAGTTTTTCAGCAGCATTTTTTTTCAAATTTTCCCACTTGCCTTTTAAACTTTTAGAAGTTCTTTTTGATTTTTTGCCTTACTATTAAATTCCTTTGCTAACTGCTCCCACACCCTTTCTTTATCTTTCCATATTACTACATCACTCTTTTTACATTCTAAAATGTTTTTAAGTAGATGAACAAGGCGGGAACGAGCACACTTCAAGGTCGTGCGTCGCTGGTAAGTATTTCAGAGAGAAACTGTAGTGAGTGAAAGAGAGAAACGTGTAACGTCATCGACGCAGGATGAAATGAGTATCGGAGATATTCAAAGAGTGTGGGCCCCCTTGTCCTGAGCCCCCTTAGTACTCCACATCACCGCTCAGGACCTCTCGAGACTCCACCTCACCCCTCGGCCCCCTTGTCTCGTTCCAGTCACGTGATTCTAATTAAAAAAAGTTTATAGTTATGAGAATCGAACCCAGGACGTCCGCGTGGTAGACATTGTCCTTAGCCTCTACAGCAACGTAAGATATTGAAAGTAACTGCGAATGATGGGTATTCACAGCGTAAGTTTTGCGGGGCCGAAATTGACTCATTTTATATACGTGACCGCTTTTTTTGATTTCCGTAGAATGTAATCATCATTATCATGTTGAAGATAGGAAACTATACGTAGATTTGGGAAATAATTAATATTTCTTATGAAGATGTGTATGTGTGTGTGAGCGAGAGACGGGTGTGACGTAATCGATACAAAAAAAGATAGAGATGGTATCAAGGTTTTACCGGTTGCTAGCGCAAGCAGGTGTTGCTGGTTGTACAAAAAAATCGTTGTGTATGGGCAATGTAGGCGTTGTCGGATACTTACATTTGGGAAAGAATTAATATTTCATGTGAAGATGTGTATGAGCGAGAGACGCGTGTGACGTAATCGAGGCAAAGAGAGATGGAGATGGTATCGAGGTTATACCAGCATGGCAGGTTCGGCGTTGTCGGTTGTAAAATTTATCGTTGTTTATGAGCAATGTAGCGTTGCCGGTTTGAAAATGAAGGGTTACTAATACGACTGTATACGTGATGTCTCAAAATACATCATTGAAAGAAAAAAACATGGCGTCGAAGTGTACAGGGTACGTCAAAATATATCTAAAAAAACAGGTCACTCTAACAGAAGTCTAGCATTCCAACATGCCAAAAGGGCACTAATTCTTGTATCTTTGTTAACCAAGTTAGCATCGTCAGGAGAAAGATGACATTCAAAAGTGTCGAGGGGTTACGCGGTGTGGACTCAACGTGAGGGCGATGGGGAAGCGAAGTATTCGACAGTGACATTTTGCATAAATCTCAACCGTTTTGCGTGCGTTTTTGACCGTTTTTCGTGCGTTTTCGATCGTTTTTCGTGCGTTTCAGATCGTTTTTCGTGCGTTTTCGATCGTTTTTCGTGCGTTTCAGATCGTTTTTCGTGCATTTTCGACCGTTTTGCATAAGTTTTCTATTTTTGTTGAGGGCATATTATCATAAGGCGGTGAGGTTAGATAAAAAATAAGAAATGATTTTGAATAGAAATTTATTATATATTTTTATTTTGGTAATATATCACAAAGCTATTTGTATAAAATATCTACGTTTCGGACACTGCAATTGTAGTTGGTTCGGTTGCGAATGTGATGCATACAGAGTGAGACACCTTCGTTGTTGTCGAATGTATAAGCCATCCATGTTGTGTTGTCATAGCCCTCCAAATTCACAACGCGTGTCGGTATATTCGACTCGTGAAATTATCAAGTTAGAAAGTCATGTTTTTGATGTCCCCGCACATAAATGACATCGACATTTTGTAGATTTTCCGTGAGAATGGCATCCAATTGATTATTTTCCACATTCCACAGGAATACCTCAATCCGTAAATGTTTCCCTCGAAGTAACAGGCGGTACGACGATCTTCTTTACTCAAACAGAAAAATGGTGTGTTTGGCAGCAGTAAAAAGTCACTACACTGAATTCCAATACTAATGGCTATTCCTTTAAGGTGGAATTTTTGCTCGACAGTGAAGCCTTGAATATCTACAACAGCTATTCTCATGTTGACTCTTCGATTGATACTGAAGCAAAATCACATGTTAAGTTCCATTTGTTGATAATTTAGCTGAGTGGGAGGTGTTCTATGACAGTGTCGTGCACAATGATGCAATAGGCTCTAGTATTTTGAGGAAATCCCTCGGATGCTTCGATTTCAAGTTTTACATCAACACTGGAACTTTTGATGCTCTCATCCCTTCTGGAACGATCGATAACAAAGAGAGCTTTGTCCGTAAAGACGGCGGAAGTGAGAAGATGATTATGTTGATTAGTCATTTTGTATCTGAGACCAAATTGTGAGGAGTTGAAATAAGCTTGCGAAAAATTCCCCTTTGCAAAATTCAAATGCATATTTTCCTTGGGGTAATTCTCACCATTTAGACTGAGCGTTATATTGGTGATAATCGAATGATTGAATATTGTTGGTTCATTGTTGACTTTAGTGTGATCACGATTTTTTTGGAAACATAGCGAGGGCTTTCGAGGAACGAGGAAGTTTTGACGGCCCATACTTCATTTTTTGCACCCTATGTGAGAGCAGGCAGCATATGAAGTTCCCATTTTCTGAACTGTATGAGAATTGGAGTTTCTGCTTGGATAGCTTTCAAAAGTTGCAATTTGATTTGATCATGCGGAAAGATTCGTTTAACTTTCAGTTCGATATTTTCAATTTTCAATTTAACTTCCGTTTTCGGCATTAGTGCGTCAGGAGTCTCTTCTATTTTGAAACAGTTGCTATCATCTCCAGCTCGTACTAATTGAATGGTATATTTACCTTAGGAAACACACTGATAATCGTTGAAAATATTCAAAAATTGCTTGATGGGTATGAGCATGTTGAATGTTAGATGACTTGTATTGATGACGCTTGTATTGTCGGGAAAAGTCCAACCGGAGGTGGGCAAGTGTTTGATATCTTCGTCGGTGTAGATGAGAAAGCCTCTAACAGTACTAACAATTCCAAGTTCACGAACTGCTTCCAATTCCTTACCACTCTGCTCATAACTAGCAGATTGAAACATGAAAGCACCAGCATTGTTTACGAATGACACCTTACCGTCCCCTTTAGTCTTCTCAACTTTTCCACTAATGAACAGCAGACTATCGTACAAAGCATCGTAGGCATCAGATTGATTGATGTTAATTTCAATAACATCGTTGTTGCGAAAAGATTTGACATATGGATAGTAGGTCCGCCATTCTATCTTTTGTATGGACTCATCGATTTGCGGTTTTCGGAAAATGTTGAACACTTGATTGGACAACATGATAACCAAGAGATTCCAGAAACAATTTATTTTCCGTTGTCAATAGTTGTCGACTAGTGAAGGTCTTGGTGAAGACTGACTTGGGGTATGGAGGTGTATTAT